CTCAAGGTAACAGCAAGATCATCCGGATATTCCTCTTGGGACTGTTTGTTAGGAAGGTAATAGATATCACAGTATTTTTGGAAATAACGCCCAATATCCATATGGTTGATTACTTCTCCATGAGTTGGCATTTCAGACTCTCTGAAAAACCAAAAAATCAGCACAAAATTTAATTAGTATATTTGATGACATAAAATCAGTAATATTTACATTTTAATATTACATTAAAACATTTTAATATGGAATTAAGCTACACTTGCCTTGCTCATAAGTGATGGGAGGGTTAATTAAATAAGTGAATAGAGAGGTTTTTTCTTTTTCCAAGATTTCTAAAGTAATAGAATTTACTAATATACAATCAAGATCAATGAATATTCTTTTTTGATGAGATGTTTGGTTTGCCATTATGAAATTTTAATAAATGAGAAAGTTCAAATTAAGTGCAGGATGGTGGGGTTTATAAAACTGTGCATTGTAAAAGTAAATAAATTAATAATTTTGGTCTGATAAAATTTTGATATTGTCTCAATTTTAATCATTCTGTATATTAAAAAAAAATAAGTAAATGAAATAAAAATCATGAAAAACTGCACTGCTGTCCATGGTATAAGCAGAGAGAGAGATTGGTGGGGGGTTCATAATTTTAGTAATAGCAACACCCCCCAAAAACCCATTTTTATGCTTTTCATTCCTTTTGCAGTCAGAAAAGCTTTTACTTATTAACTAATAATTAATTAAAAAAATTTATTTTGAAAAGGACTTCCTGTTTTAAGCTATTTTAATTTTTTTGCAATGGATTAACTGTAACATTGTATAATAAAACAATAACCTTATTTATCATCTTTAGTATTGAAAAATACAAATTAAAATCCATTGGCTAATAAAATTTAATATTGTTACCTAATCATTTTGTATCATGAACTACTTTTTTAAAAAGATTTTTTTTTATTTTTATTAATACTTAAAGATGATAAAAGGTCTATTGTTTTACTAGGCTTCATAGTTAATCCACTGCATAAAAATTTGGAGTAATAGCTTAAAACAGGTGTAGTCCTTTTCAAAATAACAAGTGTATTTTTTAATAATTATTAGTTAATAAGTAAAAGCTTTTCTGACTGCAAAAGGAATGAAAAGCATAAAAATGCCATTGCAAATATATCACAATTTAAAATATGAAAATAAATTTACAATGCCAATTGTCATATAGGGAAGAAATATAGACTCCAGAGGAAGTCATCTCAAAGGGTGTGTTATACAGGAATAAAGTGTTACTGCTGACACTTGGGTTTGAACACAGATCACCAGAAAGCAAGCACAGTCAACCTCATCTCTTGAAATAATTAGATCACATGACTGGTAAGGATATATATATAATATATATATATATATATATATATATATATATATATATATATATATATATATATTAATTAGGGCGTCTGAAGACATTACTATTATTGTATCTGTGATTTACAAAATCTCTCCTGCAAACGGGCATTACAAAACCAATGTTTTACTTCTTTACATTAAAGGAAAATTTCTTCCATAAAATGTACTTTGAATACAAAATTAAAACAGATGTAGTCTTTTTCAAAATAATAAGCATATTTTTTATTATACATACTAGTTTCTTCCTCACATTTATTTCAAAATATGTAATGACAACCAATAAGGGTGCATCTATTTATTTAGGTAACTCCATTAGGTCGCATAAAAAAACAGCATATTACGATGAAACAAGGCCCATAACTCAACGAAAACAAAGTTTTGTCATCAATATGTTTGTTATTATTAAGAGGAAAGACCAAAGTATTTTTTTTATTATTTTTTGAAATTTTTGACTCCTTTCTAGCACGTAGAAAATTTTGGTTAAAAATTTTGCTTTTTTTATGACAGCGCAATAATAGAGAAAAAAAGGTTTGTTTTATTTTGCACTTTTCCCGAGGAAAACACACATTGATTTGGAAATTCTTGCAAAAATCAAATAATTGTCGGATTTTAATGAAACTTTCAGGAAATATTCAGAAATGAATGAAATTATTTAAAAAAAAAATTTTTTTTTTTAGAAAATCTTGTTAGAAAGATATTTTTTTTAACATGTTTCCATCCCTTACATATTTTCATGAAATTTTGAGAAATTAAATCTTTAAGCATGGGATTTGTTTTATTAGTTAAAAACAGGACTCTTTATAGAAAGTAAATAACCAGTTTTTTTTTAAACATTTAGCGCTTTCATAGAAAATCCGCTCTGAATTATAAAAAAAAAAAAAAAAAAAATGTAAGAATCTATGACATTAATTAATTAGAAAAGCTTTGACTTGTTTTGTAAATATGTTATATTAAGGACATTATTTTGTAAAGAAATAAAATTTTTTTGATGAATAATGTATTTTTATAAGATTTAAAAATTTTTTTTTATTAATATAATATTAACTTATTAATACTTCAAAATCTGTTTAAAATTCTTTATTGCTTTTATTCAGCTAATGCAATGATAACGTTAATGGAAAAGTAAATTTACAAATCGAAATTTGAAAACTTATAACAGTCGTTTGTACCCGATTATTTTTAAAATAATTTTTAGTGAGAAAAAAAAAAAAACGTTCCTAATTTCTATCTATGGGGAATCTATACATGACATAATCCTTAAAAAGATCACATGATTTCATTGTCATTTGAAACACTGCAATTATATCCCTTCAATATCCAATTCTGTTTCACATCATTAACGTGTTTGCAAAAAGTCCTTTCAAAATTTCTAAGTTAGTTTTAATTTTTGTGAATTACTTTTTTACTAAATATTTTTATTTTAGGTATTTATTTTAGTTTGGGTCATATTTCATTGAGGTAATTTTTTATTTAAGTTAGTAAGTTGTTAAATAAAAAGATTAAGAACCTAAGAAACAAAATCCAGACTAAAAAAAAAATTAAATAAAAAATAAATATTAAATAATTACTGAATAAATGTTAATATTTAAAAATTACTAGTTAAAAATAAAAACGTGTTTGCTTACTTCGTAAAATTGTCAAATTTGATCATCCATAATAGCTTTCATCACCTCTTTAAAATCTCGATAACATTGATAATGTGAATAAAGACATGAAAAAATTCAGACACATCGTTAAGAAATGTTTGGATACAATTTCTTATGCTATAAGTAAGGACTGTTTGTTTCAAATCAGATTAATTTAACTTTAAATTTTCTAATTTTACTCAAACAATGTGTCAAAAATATATTATTTATTTTAGGAAGAAGTTTAAAATCGAAATTTTTTTTTTTACAAATTTCTTAAAATTTAAGAAAATGGCCACTTTTTAAGAAAAAAAAAAAAAAAAAAAAAAAAAAAATCAGCACATATTTGACATTCCAATCTATATAATTTCTATCTGAAATACACCAGAATATTTTAGTTACTGGAAATAATAGATTTAATCCTTAGCTTTCAATTAAACCTAAAATAAAATCTTTAAGAATGCTTTTCATTTTTAAAAATTCATTTTAAACCTTAGGTATCGAAAAATTGAATGGAGGTACCTATATTTATTACTGTATATTGAAAACAAACACTGAATTTGCTGTAGTGCTGTAAAAATAGAAAAATGGCTCTAACTCAAGGAACTGCTCATCAAATTTAAATGAAATTTGGCACTGCACTTGGTAGAGGGTTCAAGGTAGAATATGCTCCTAAATTGGTTGGGGTATTATGTATCATTTAAGCTGTATCTCAGGAACAAACATACCATACAAAATTAGAGTTTTAGTATTATATAGATGTTGAAAATTATAAACTTAAAGAAAGTCATCACTTGATGTAACTTTATGAGACAGAACTTGCGATACAATTTATGAGACAGAACTTGCGATACAATTTATGAGACAGAACTAGAAAAAATGACTTTTTTTCCTAAGATTACAAATAATTTTTCAAGATATGTAGTGTTACCCAAAATCTAGGGAACTTAAATTGTGAAAAAGCTTCTTCAGAAAAAAATTGTTAGAAAAAAGAGGCTCTGGTGAAGTGATTCTGAGAAATGTATGAAATGCCAGGTAAGACATGAAACCCAGATTAACTTATTGAATGAACATACTGATCCATTTTTTCAAATGCCCCAAACTTTTAGGTAACTTGGTTAATGTAACAAGTTTTTTTAGTGAAAAAATTAAAAGATTAAAACTTTTGATGAAACTTTCAATTTATACAGGGTTTGGTAGAAATACCACCCAGATAATGATAAGACAATACATAGATGAAGACACCATCCCCACTAATGTCTTACTATTATGTGGGGAGGTATTTCTGTTGCAACCTATATAAACTGAAAGTTTCATCAAAAATCTAAAAAAATCTTAATCTTTTAATTTTAATGTGAATTAGACTGTCTTTCTATCTTCTCTTCAAAATCATATTCAAGACTAGAATAGATATATTGTTTTCATTTCTAAGGCTTGAAGAACATTAAGCTTTACATTATCAAGTAAGCAAAATTCTAAGACAGAAAACAACAGAGCAAAAATATGGAGGTACGAAATTTATGAATACTGTGTATAATCATGTATCAGCTAGCTTCATGTATAGAGCATCCCCTGAATTTTTTTAGTGTGAAAATTACAATTTGCATGTGTATAGTGCAACTGGTCACCAAAAATGGCTGATTTTGTTTTACCTCTTCAAAAGAATTACCCGTGTATAGGGCAACCCCTTAATTTTGTGTAAAAAGCTCTATAATAAAAACTTGCTCTATACTGGAGTATATATGCTATTAAAAAATACCTCACTCAAAGCCTTTAAGTAAAAAAAGAAAAAATAGCTCTCAATGCCTTTCAGAAAAAAAAAAAAAAAATCTCTCTCTGAGTCATTGCCTTTCCATAAAAATACCTCACTGCCATTTACAAAGCAGCACAAAAGTCCATGTTCACATTCCTACAAGTGTTTGTGAAGAAAAAGAGGACACTGTCAGAAAAAATGTTTAAAAAAAGTGGCTACAAAACCTTACAGACCTTGAGCAGCATATCTATTGCTGCCATCATTAACAAGTACGTTGTAGAATGGCTGGTGGTCTTTTCTTTCCAACCGATCCACACCCATTCGCTGGATCCATTCCAAAGATGCCATACATTTCCTGTCCCAACCAGTCACAACACACATATAATCATATCTGTCAAGAAGAAAAAGTAGCAATAATTTAAATAAGAATGATTCCATTCGTATATTTTTATCCTGAATATAAGCTGTATTGTAGAAGTTACAAAGCAACATGAAGTCATTAATAAAGTGTTAAAAAAATAAGATTGGATTAATTTAGAATTATAGTAGGCATCCGTTTATCTCATCAGATAAAAGTAACACCTGATTTAGTCAAAATTCAGTTCTTTGGTGATAAAACTGGAGTGACCTCTGCCAGCCTGGTATATGAAGGCTGTATACTGCCCAGAGTACATGACCCTGCTCTCAAGCATACAAACAAGATCCAAAGGAATACAGGGCATTATATTTGGGTCGGCTTGGCTGCAGGAGTTGCGGGAAAGTTATCAGTGTTGACAACCAATTACCTTCTGTCTGGATTTACTTCCATAGCCTTTTCCATAAGTAAATCCGTTTGGATATGATTACTAGACCTGGAGGCTTAAAATCAGTGCTTTCCTTCTCCTAGATGGACCACTTTCCTGTGCTGTTGTTCCATCTACTTAAAGCAGCTGGTTGTGAGGTGCCAGTTGTCTACTCTTGTTCATTCTCCAACTTGGAGCTGGACTTGGTTGTCAGAGAGGCTGTTTGAGATGCATACCACAGAAACATACACACACAGTATTGAGAGATCAACCTTTTGCAGGTTATTTAAAGCCAGAAAATATTTTTACATTGTAAGAATATTTTAGAGATAATAGTGATTTACTGATACAACTCCTACTAATTAACCCATCACTGAAAGCGGAAGAGTTGGATTCATGCTTTTCCCATGAATTTGCACATAAGAGAATGTAATAAAACTGACAGGAATTGGAACTCAACTCTAAGATTTCCAATTCTGAGCCATTATCCGTTACACCACCCACACATCCAAGTTTAACTTCAGTGATCTATGAGAGCTGGTGTTTCAATGTTATACGGGTGTAAGCCATGTTTTAAAGAATAAAGAAATATATGGAACCTACTATGGCAAATAGTAAGGGATGTATTTTTGGTAAACAAAATTGCTCCCCCACTTAATATTCACTTGTCAGTTAATCACATATTGATGATAAATAAGTAGGGTTACCAGATTGGGCTACAAGTAACAAATTGGATCATATCTGAAAGCCCAACACTATTAAATTTTGAATTGACATCTTTCTTATTAGTTAGCCCAGCTTATTTTCATGTTGGCTCTCACATGACCCACTGGAGTGTCATGGTGGTATGCTTGCAAGGCCCACATGACCCTACAGTGGGTATTTTTCCAATTTATTTTCTATGAGGATTATTGGGAGCGGGATGCTATGAATGATTACTTATGAGATCATGGTACACTAGAACCACATCTTTTTTTCTAAAAAATTAAATTATTTTTTTTTGTCTTTTATTTTGTTTTCCTTTTGGAAATTCTACTGTTGTTTTTTTTTTTTTTTGGTCATTTTTTTTTCCATACACACAGCTGCACTCATTTTTTTACCTCATTTCACAATAACAGGATTTAAGATATAGTTTTGGAACAACAAGGAAAATGAGGCTTGGGGTCAAAAAAAACAAAAAAACTGACCATTCATTCATTCACCTACTCTACAGAGGATTTTATATAATAATATCAAGATACCAATATACCAGTTTTATCATCCATTTTATTTTTTGTATGTTTTGACAATATAAAACCATCCAAAAGGTTTTTTCTTTTCCAATAATAATAATTACTGCATCAAAACATCTTGAAAAAAAAAAAAAAAAAAATACCTTTTGTGCTTCATTATTAATCCAACTGAAAATTCAACTTCTAAATAATCAGCTCTTCTTTTAGGTTTGATCTATAAACAAAAAGTAACAAAAGTGTATTGAGAATTCAATAAGATTCTACATCCCCCCACCAATTTATATATAAAATTAATTTTTCTACAAACATACTAGAATCTTTTTTTGGTGATATTTTTTTTTTGTAATATTCACAAAATTCAATAAATATAGTCACTTATATTTATACAAGGGGGTGTTGCAAAGTTCTTGGCCTGACCAAGAAATCTTTAAAAAAAAAAAAAAAAAAAACATCATTTGGTCATTTAGGGAAATAGGTCAGTGCAAGAATTTTCACCACCCACTCATAAACTTTATATAGTATTTTAGTTTCACAACATAAAGAAACTTTTTTTTTTATTTACAACATTAAAGTTAGTGACTTTGATTTATAACCGAGTTCAGATTGTAGTTTATATTTTATAGCTACAACTATTTGTAAGATTATTTTCAGACTAATATACATCAAACTTGGTTCACCTATGCAATATAGTTTGAAATATATATACAAATGCAAATTTAAATATATATAACTCCTCATCCCAGAAATTCAGGCAGAAAATATACAGATGCTGACAATGCACTTCATGCACAAAAAAAAAAAAAAAAAAAAAAAGTGTTTCAAAAGGAAAGTTTTTTTTCCTTCACACCATTATTATTTTAACTAACTTCACTCCGGCAATGTATATTGTTTTAAAAAGTGAAGATTAAAATTTTAATAAAAACTAAACATATGATGCATTTAAAAAAAATTAAAAATATTATGGAAAAGTTTAATATTTTTGTCAGTTATTTTGGAAAGTGAAAATTTTAGACTCATTATATGTAAACTAAATTGTTTTAAGCATTTTTTATTTTAACTTTGATAATCACAAACTAGAGCTAGCAAAAAAAATTTACATTTCTCTCAAAATATTAGAATATTCCATTCTGAGTTTGAGTAAGTAACTATGTATACACTATAAATATGAATTTCTCATTCTGGTTCAATATACACAACTGCAGTCATGGAGAAGACTGTAAACAACAGTTGTCCAGAAGATACACATTAATATTCTCCTTGTGGTGGGAAAGCCACAGAAGGTCTTTGCTGAAAGGGATGGCTGTTCACAAAGTGCTTTAGCAAAGCCTACTTGTAGAAAGTTGACTGGATGAAAAAGTTAAGATATAGAAGCAAGAGTGATGACTACTGTCTTGAGACAATTGTCAAAAAAGTCAATTTAAGAACAGGAAGTTTCAAAAGGAATAGACTGAGGATAGTCAGTACATCAAGTCACCAGACACAGATATAGCCAGAAAATTTTGCATTCCTAATGTAAAGCTACTCCTGAACCAAAGTCAATGTCAGAAGCATCTTATTTGAGATAAAGAGAAAGATAACTTGAACACTGCCAATGGTTCAAAGCCCTCTTCTCAAATGAAACTAAATTTTGCATTTCATTTGGAAATAAAGGTCCCAGAATCTGGAGGAAGAGTGAAGACGCATAGAATCCAAATTGCATGAAGTCTGAAGTTTTTATAGTCACTGATGATTTCAGGTGCCATTTTATTTGCTGTTGTTGGCTCATTGTGTTTTATCGTGCCCAAAGCTAACACAGCTGTCTACTAGATTTTAGAGTACTTCATGCTTCCAACTTCTGACAAGCTTTATAGAGATGCTGATTTCCTTTTCCAGCAGGACTTGGTGCCTTCCCACGATGCCAAATCTATGAATAACTGGTTTGCTGGTCATGGTATTAATGTGTTTTACTGACAAGCAAAGTTGCTTGACCTGAACTCAATAGAGAATTTGTACAGTATTGTGAAGAAGAAAATGAGTTACAAAACCCAATTATAGTGATGAGCTGAAGACCATTATCAAAGTAATATAGAACTTACATAACAGGTCAGCAGCCCCACAAGCTGAATGCCCCATGCCACACTGTAATGATGTAGTAATTCATGCTAAAAGAACTCCAACCATGTTTTGAATGCAAATATAAAAGCATACTTTTGTGTGTGTGTGTGTGTGTGATATATATATATAAAAATAAATAAAAAGCGATGAGAAAAAATTATTAGCTGACATTTTTCATCAAGGCAATGTAGGATTTATTTTGTTACATGTGTTTATATACAAAAGCGAGGATGTCATTGGTTTATCAAGGCTTTTAAATTTGAGAATGTTCATGAATGTTCATCAGATGGTTGAAAGGTCAGTCAAAACATGTAGCAGACACAAAGTGTTATAATTCAAAGTCTGGCAAAAAGTAAGTGAGTAATATTCAAGAAATTTTTTTTTACATGAATATTGTTTAGATTGTGATTAGATTGTTATGGTACGAGATGGATGTATGTGCTGTACATCTTCAGAAACATGAGGTGATGGATTTAATCATTTTCTTTTGATTTTTCTACATATTTGTGGTTGTCTATGTTGGTACATATGCTATACAACTGATATTGAGCACTTTTTAACCTGTAAATATAGCATAACTTAAAACTATATCTTTATCATTATACATAGTCTGATCAAAAAGTATCAGGACTGTTACTATGGTAATGGGGCTAAAATATGAAGAATAAAATTTGCTTGATACAGATAGACCTTAAATTCTGTCATAATGTTCTTGCTCACTTCTAAGCACAACATTTCCCAGATCTTACAACCACCATATTTCCCAGATCTCTCCCCTCACAAATTTTTCCTCTTTCCAAAAATCAAATCCCACTTGAAAGGAAAAAGATTCCAAGAAAATGGTACAAGGCTGCTTCTTGCTATCCAAAAAAAGGAGTTCCAGTAATACTTTCATCAATGGAATTGATGCTGGATAAATTGCATGGCTTCAGCAGGGGACTACTTTGAAGGAAATTAAATGCTGAATTGATATGTGTTGAAGTTTTATTTTTATAGTAACAATGACTTTTGATCAGCTCTCATATATATTTGTTTATCTTATGAAATATTGTAATATTTTGAGATAGTGGAGTTTTGATTTTCATGAACTGCAAGTTATAATCAACATATATTTTATAAACCTTTTGTTTCATATAAACTTAGTTCAATGAAGTCCTAAATGATGAAACATCACATGAAAACTTTTTTTCACTTTGTCATACATCTTTCTCCCAAAATTATTCTTTGTGTATAAAAACTTACATATTGTTCCATATATATGAAGTAGAGTAATATTTTGAGATAGTGGAATTTTGATTTTCATGAAATGCATGCTATACTAAGCCTTTCATTTATTTCACTTGATGTGTAATGAATCTAGAATATATGAAAGTTTCACTTTTTGAATGAAATTGCAGTAAAAACAAAAAACAAAAAAAAACAAAAAAAACTTTTCCATGATATTCTCATTTTTTTTAAGTATCTGTAAATGTAGGTCATATTTTGATTTCCTTTAATATCAATTATTAGATAGCAGCACAGACTGACAAAAAAAACAAAAAACAAAAAAAAACAAGCTTACTGGTTTGTCATCCACATTTTTGGAAAGTTCTTCCAAAATGCATCTGTTCAGTTTTTCTCCTAAACACTGATATCTGTGAATGTTTGATTGTGACAGCTTTTGGGCACTGAGCATAACCTGGAGAAATAAAAGACAAAAGAACAGTTGCTATTAGCTATTATGACCTAAAAATAAAAGAATGTTTTGGCACTTTTTGAGGATAAAAGACCTTTTGTCATTCCACTAAGACTGCCATAGGAGATAAGCATTTACCTTTCTTGGATCAGGGATAAAAAAATAATAAAGTGGATAGGACATTAACACTTCCTGGAGCTGTTGACATACTTATATAAAACTTATACTGCTTGCTGTTAACATATATATACATTTTCAAGACACTGTGAAACATGTTTTGTCTTAGCATTTGTTTTATAAGCTAGGTAGTGTTTAGTATTATTTTCAAACTAACAGACACGTAGTAGCATACATTATGACCTCTGACATATTTTTATTATATTGTATGTTTGTGGGTGTTGCTTAACTTTGTACTGCAGAGTGTCTGATTGAAACCAAAATGGCAGCACCCATAAGAAATCATCATCAGGTTAGCACAGTCAGGCAACAATGCTATTGTTTGTTTAGCGACATATCAACTCCTTATGTGTTACATTTAATGCTAAAATTTAAATTTCTTTTAAGAAAAAAATGTATTTCTGGTAATATTTTTTCCCTTATAATGTATTGCTGGTAATTTTTTTACTACAAAAAATGTATTGCTAGTATTTTTTACTATAAAATTTTTTATTACCTACATTGTGTTTTGATCCCAGTTTGGGGCTCTAATATTTGCCCATAGCTGAGACCTTAACAGGTGCTACCACCCCAGGTCAGGGTGGATCTGGGAACAACAACAATTAACCTTTAGCACTCTGCATTATTAATATTACTTCCTGATGTGGACGCAAAGTTGGGACCACGGAAGGAAAACACGGATTAGAGGTAAGAAAGATATATTAAACAAAAAGGTTACAAAGATAGTGTATGTGTAGTGTATAGTCTATGTGCTAGTGTCCAATATTGGTTGTCGTACACGGCTGATACTACGATATTAGAATACTCCCTCTCTCTTTCCTCCTCTTCTCCTAGAGTGTTATATCGCAACTTTATATAGTCCTGGAAGAGTCCATGTTGTAGGTATGTTACGGTCTCACAACACTTCCCTTTCTAACATTTTTTTTCAAGGCCTTTCAAGAAGTAACCTTGTTAATTTCACTCAATGTTGTTTTCTGTTGCTATAGCAGGATATGAGAACACAACTATGAAATTCAAACAAACTATTGTTTAGGGATCAGAATCACCTTCAGTACCAGGATAAACATTTTGTACAGCATATAAAGTCACATACAGAGTGACAAAGGTTAAGAAGTCGTTCCATGCTCCTCAAAACATCCCAATCAGAGCCCTTGTTGCTGGATGTAGTTTACCCAAGACAGAAAACAATGCTATAACATTACAGCAGTGAAAGTGTTAGAAAGAAATAAAAATAAAACTGTTAAAAGGTTTTGATCTTGTAATATCATAATTAGTGTCTATAGGAATAGCATAAATTAATTCATAAATAAAGATAAAACAAGGCAAAAATTTTCATGAAAGGTAATATATAAAAATAATCTAGCAGATGAGATAAAAGGAGTTCAAAGAAATCAGGCAATACAGTTTTGTAAAAATTGGACATCAATAGTTGAGATGATGAAGGATAAATGAAATAGGAATGTTTTTATCTTATAAAATGTCACCTTTGCATATTTGTTTCATCAAAATCAACTTAATGATTAAAATAGTTACAAGCTTGGCTGTAAACACATGCCTAGGACCCTCAGACAATTTTTGAGTGATTGGTCAACTTTTGTTTGTCTTGTTACCATTGTTGTAGATTTCTCAGCCATGCCAGAATGTGAACATAAGCTCAGGTTTCTCAGTTTTTCACTGATTGGTCAGCATCTTTCTCATGCCATGTTTTCATTCCCATTTGTGTCAGTGGGAAACAAAACTGGGAAAGGCCTGATATACATTCAACAAAGAAACTGAATATAATAAAATTGAATAAAGCCAGTTATGATAATACCTTTCAAGATTTACAAAAAACTTACAATTCTTAAAAACTGTATTCTTTACCATAACTTTAAAGCAATGACTGTATATTATTTTTAGAAAGTAATTATAAGAAACACACATGGTAAATTTTTTATACACTGTAGGATGTATTGGCAGGGTAACAAATATAAACACAGAAAGTGAAACCAAGTTCAAATTCTGATTGAGTCTATTGTTTTTATTTTCAAACAAATACCCTTGGGAAAGATATAAACCCATCTCTTCCTCACCGCCACATCTAGGGGTTAAATAGCAGAGTAGACTGGGCTCTCTAGCCTTAGATAGTAATCAGTCTAAGGCAACAGGAAACTAGAGTACTATCTTTCCAAAAAAAAGAATGCATGAAAATTCCTAGATTACTATCTAAAAGAAAAAAAAGAATCTAGTCAAGCTAGTCTTTAAAATACTCCATACTATTATTCTGTTTGTTTATATGAATCATCATTCTGCTTTTCTGCCTCGGATCAAAGTGTAGTGTCTGCCTGAATGCTAGCCCATCTCAGATGGAGTCAGTGATAGCTTCTACTGAAAAACTGACAAAGTAGAAAGGAACATAAAAATGGGGAAGAGGATGAGGAGGCTGGGAAAGAGGGTGTGAAGCAAGAGAAGAATGGAAAGAATACCAGAGGTGGAGAGAGAGAGAGAGAAACAAGAGAGTCAGACAGACAAAAAGAGAGAGATGGACAAAGAAAGGGAAGAGAGTGAGAGATGAATGAAAGACAAGAGACAGACTTGCTGGCTGGATATCAAGAAATAATGGATGAAAGTTTGAACAGTAGGTAAGATTCAAAAGGCATAAAAATTGCAACGCATTAAAATTCTTTATAGGGAAGGGTGTGGTCCCAGGACAAACCTGATGTTGTCAATAATTAGTCTGGAAAATTCTTCACAGCAGAAAACACCTAAATGAGCAAACAGTAAAAACATTTCATAAATTTTCAAATTTGTCATCTTTCTAATTTGAATGTGTAGTCTTAAAAGATATTATCTTAATATAATATTTAGCGTGTATAAAGCATGAGAGAAAGTGGAATAAATGGCTAATTATATAAAAAAAATGAGCCCTAACAACAATGGAAGAGAGAGTTTATTGCTGTCAGCTAACTTTGGAAATTTAAAACATACATAATGTGTGCAGACATACAAGAACACAAAGTATATCCATAATCAAGTGTGAAATACAGCCTAAGATAGTTAATAGTTAAGAATCCAATTGTATAACTTTCAAAATAAATAAATATAGTTTATACTTGAACCAAGAAAGTATGTTTCTATTTATTTAAAGAAACAAAAATGTTTTTAATGGTGATAATTTGATTTTTTAGAGAATTTATTTCATTTATCATTATTATTTTCTATGAAGTTTTCTTCAATTAAAATTTCTTCATCTGCTATTGACAATTACTTGATTCTTTTGTTGAATTATTTTTTAATTAAATACAAAAAACGTTTCCATATATGTTGATTATATAATATATGTAATTATTAAAAGCAAAATAAAAAAAAAAATTCAAAAAATATATTGGGATTTTTGGAAAACATTTCTAGATTATTAAATCACATTTATATGAAAACATCATTTCAGGAATTTCTGAGGAACAAAAATATTAATAATAATTTTTTTTTAAAGTGACTAAGTTTTTTGAAAATCATTAACAAGAATGTATTTCATTTTACATATAAGGCTACAATATATTTTAATATCTAACTAAAACATTTCTAAACAAAAGCAGTAGTTTTTACTAGAGCTTTAGATTTTCATCAATTTTTAGATTCAGAGCATTAACTCTCAGGGGATTAATTTTTATAAATAAAATTTTAAAATGATTTTAATTCTACATTGATTTATCTATTTGCCATGTAAATGCTTTTAGATTTCAATTGATATATATTGAGATGTAATAAAATTAAATAAAAAATAGCTTTATATACCGCATATACTCAACTTCATGTATAGCGCAACACCTGAATTTTTTTACATGTACTTTAATCCCTCCAAAAACAATTTATCTGTGCACACGGCAACCAGTCACTGAAAATGCATGATTTTTAACCTCTTCAAAAACATTACCTCTGTATAGTGCAATCCCCAATTTTTCTGTGTAAAAAAACACTGATCTGCACTCAAATATATATGGTATCTATTTCTACTAATCTTTCTTACAAAGTAATCTTTTTGTAAATAACTAGTCAACAGCACGGGATATAGAGCTAGCAAGTTCAAATTCTGGTCTAGTTTCTAGTATGCTGTTCTTGTTTTCATACTAATGCTATCAGGAATGACATAAGTCAATCTCCTCTTCTTTCAGCTAGATTGAGCACTCTGGCCTTGGGTATTAGCCAGTCTAAGAGAACATCACTGAATTCAAAATTGTGGAGAAGTCACTTCATTGTCTTTCCCAAGAATTCATAAGTCTATAGATAATAAAACATAGAATCTGTGTCAAGCCATTTTGATTTAAAGAAATGATATATTAATCTGATTTTTTTCTAGTCATTTTTTTTAACAAATGTTAAAAAGTCTTTATCAAGTTAATTTTTTTTTATGTCTCATTTTTAACAGAGACTTTTCTTCCAAAGACGTTTTTTCAATTGTTTTACATTGCAAAATTTATTTAAAAATCTCATTAGTTGTCATATATTTTTCTCTATATTTATAAAAATAAATAGATTAATAATAAAATTTAATTTTTATGAGTCATTTGTGTTTTTCTTTCTAAAAAGAAAAAAAAAGTACATTGAATTTTAGTTTAGTTTACCATTAAAAACCCTAAAATAGAAGCAAATGTAATATTTTATACTACAAAACTAATGAAAAAATCATTAAGAATGTTGCTATTTAAAGTTAAGGTCATAATTAAAATTCAATAAATTTAAATTAATATCTTTACATATTGTATAACAAAGTGTATGAAATGTTAATTCTAACCCTGCTACACAATTAAAATTTTTTTAATGTACTAATCATGAAAAAAGTATATTCA